CCAAACAGTCTCCCTCCCCGCCACCACTAATTTTTTCACATCATTCTTTTTTTTCTGTTCCCCTGCTACTGGGGTTTCTTTTTAAGCCAAGGAAATTAATCTATTTGCAAGAATCATCTTTTTGCATGCCTCAGTAGTTTGCTTGGGCAATTGAAAAATGAGCTACATGTCAAATGGTTTTTAGCCATGTAAAAAGTCATTTCCTAAAAACTTGGGGAAAACACCATAATTAGGAAAAATGCATCTATCCATATTTCAAGGTTAAGAGTTGGTCAGGGCTGGGGTGGGGGTGTTCTCACTGCACAGCTGTTTTACATATTTTGAAAAGCCTGATAGATGTAAAGGTCATTGCTAACTCTAACAGGGTCTTGATGCTCACACTGTGATCCAAGGACCTTGCATTAATTAGGATGAGAAGCATGGAAGGTCAGGAGTCAACCGGCTGGTGAGCCTCGATGGATTGTTAGTGGGACCAATCAGAATTCCTGTAGGATTTTTAAAGCATTAAAACAAAGAAACAAAAACTACTGCTGCTTCTGTTGTCCCTGGATGGATTTCTTGGTCTGTATGGCAAGGACTCGTCCCCTGCTGCGCAGATGGCTCATAAAAACTTGGCTACATATATGGCTTTGCTACAGGCTTCCTGGTGTTGGGGAAAGAACCTCATCAGCTAGACTCTCACTTGGCCAAGTCACTTGACCTACATGAACCTCAGTTTCCTCATATATGCAACAGAGGATAGTAATACCTATCTCACAGGACTGCTATAGGAATTAAATAGGAAAACTGTCAGAGTACCCAGAACATGCTTAACATGGCTTGAATTGAAATGAGTTTCAAAGACGAGCAAATTTAGGGAAATTAAGAAAGAATTCTTGGGTGAGCCTAGGGCTGGTGGTATTTATACGCTAAGTAGGTCTCCAGGGACAGCCTCCGTTCAGTAGGCAACAATCAGGGAGGGGCTCTGGAAATTTAGCCTTGAAAATGCTGTACAACCAGTGGGGCCAGCTGAGCCTTCTAGAACCAATTGCAGTGTTAATATGCTATTCCTTTGCTAGTAATAATTAGCCATGAATTGGTCCCTGCAAAATTTGTGGCCTTTTCTCTACAGAAAGTCTTTTACGGTTGCGTAGATTGCAAGAAAATGGAGAGGGGGTGGGCTTTAAGGTAACGGAGATGTTAAATCATAATCAGGAAAAGAAGAGTAGTAAAGTTAGTCTTAGTTTCCTGTGTTTTGATAGATAAATAGATGCCAAGACAGTTGCCCTGACCATGTTTAAAAGCCCTTTCTCAGGAGCTTTACCATGAAGTGGTAAAGTTGGGAATGTTGTTAGCATGCTAATCATTGCCTTACTAACTTTGGAGTTGTCAACCTGCCTGCCTTTTGGGTTCAGGGGTTATATCAATGGCTTATTATTCTAATCTCTGTATATAAAATTATTATGCAGCTAACATTCATCAAGCATTTGCTATTTTCTAAGCATTGGGAACAGAGGTGAGTTAGAATTTCTTACCTAAACTGCAGATCTCCTTTTTGAACTACAAAGAAGGAAAAATAATTTTAATGTTGCTTAACAGATGTTGAATATTCACCACTTGCTTTTGAGAGTGATTAGGGGGAGGAGAAGAGATAGCAGTGGGATTTACTCTCACTTTGGGGCCCTATATTCTTTGAGGGTTCTGCATTTTGGGTTGTTTTTTTTTTTTAACTACTTTTACTATATATTTCCTGTGACTTATTTGCTCCTCCAAATGTATGACTGCAAAATAGAGTATTTTAATATTTGTCTTAATATGGTAAAAATAGAGGCCTGGATTACAATTGGCAAAAATGTGGAGGGAGTCTAAACCTCATTTTTCTGTTTCTCTGTTAGCACTCTCACCATTAGCAAAGTGTTTTCTTTTCTGTGAGGTTTCAGTGTGTGGCCTCGGTGTGATGGCTACAAGAGCCTAGCTTTGCTTTTTAAAGGAACTAATAAGTTATGGATAATAATATTAATAAGTTATAGTTAACTTAAGTATCAGATGTACTTATTTATGGTATATTAAATAACCCACTGCATAGAAAATGTATGTTTTAGATATTTGGGAAAAAAAAAGCAGACACCTTTCCTGTGAGCATTTAATCCCAAAATGTGTGCACAAGAGAGTGTGGAAAGAAGAGAGATGCAAATGAAAGATTTGGCAACCAGTAGGTGGTAGCCATCAAGTCTTGGCCCTGGTCATTATTATAGGAGTATGTGTACATGCACACTATCATATGCATTCATGTGTTTTTGTTCCTAACTTTGCCATGAGGTAGTTGTTAATTGCTGCTGACAAGAAAATCTACCATCTTTAACTCTTTTATTCAACTGGGAATAGGAAGAGAGAGAGGTGATGATGTGCCACAGTGTGTATCTTTTCCTGTCACTGGATATAGTCGGCCATACAATTGTTTGAACCATGAACCAGTTGCTTTAAGAAACTGACCATCACATTGTACTGTTAAGATTCTAGGTTCCTTTAGAATATGTAGAAATTAATTTTCTCTCAGCACCCCTGCTGTTGTCCCCATGTGCAGTTTGGAATCATATACACCAAAACATTTGCCATAAGGTTACCAATCTGATACGAGAGAAAAGCCATCTACCATAGAATAGTTTTAGTATGGAAAGTTCATCATATATCATATGCTGACAAGTACTAGGACTCAATTTATTAGTTCTTTATTTTCATTAACCTTTAGTCTTACCAAAGGGAGGACTTTGGAGAATGATAAATGGCTTGTGATGAGCTGAGGAGAGAGGAGTTTTAGTTTTGTAAAAGTGTTGACTTGAGAGACTGAGGTGGGAGGATCGCTTGAGCCCAGGAGATCAAGGCTGCAGTGAATTATGGTCTTGCCACTGCAATGTAGCCTGGGCTACAGAGCAAGTGAGACTGTTGGTAAGGGGGTGGGGTACTATTGATCCAGTGCCTTAGGGAAGCAGAACCTCTGGTTCTGATGGCTGCATTAGTAAAGTCATGTGAATGTAATGTGTAAAATAGTCCCCATTTGCGTTGTTGAAGCTTCCTAATTTGTGGTCTTAGTGATGAATGAAGACTCCAGCTTTCTCTGAACATTGTTACAAGTGGAAGAAGTTACAAAAGCACTTTCTGGTCAAATAAGAATGGGAATGACTAATAATGCACATGTCTATGTTTGGGGCCCATCATTCTGAATCGGGTCAGATTTTTGGAAACAGTGGCCTTTGGTAAGGTAGTGGGCAACTACATTTTTTTTTTAACCCTCACAGAACATATGGTTTCACTTAAAGCATGCTAGCTGGTCTTTCTTTCACCAGGGCTTCAGAACTGTGAAGGGACCTAGGGAGCTGATTACTGAGCTTTGAGCATTGGCACAAGATCTCTGGGCTGGCTCACCAGTTTGTCCTCTGGAGTTCTTATAAGCTGTGTGCTTTGATTTGCAAGTAGAGAAGCTATGGGCATACCTCAAAGATACTGCAAGTTTGGTTCCAGACCACCACAATAAAGCAAATAACTCAAATTTTTTGGTTTCCCAGTACATGTAAAAGTTGTCTTTATACTATGGTCTGTTATGTGTGCAGCAGCATTATGTCAAAAAAAACCCTACATAACTTAAAAATATTTCATTGTAAAAAATATATATATATTTCATTGCTAAAATATGCAAACAACCATCTGAGCCTTCAGTGAATCATTTTGCTGCTATGGGATCTTGCTGCAGTGTTGGTGGCTGCTAACTGATCAGGTGGTGATTGCTGAAGGTTGGGGAATGGCTATGGCAGTTTCTTAAAATATGGCAATGAGGCTGGTTGTATCAATTGACTCCTTTCATGAAAAATTTCTCTGTAGCATGCGATGCTCTTTAATAGCATTTTATTCACAGTAGAAGTTCTTTCAAAACTGGTTTCAGTCTTCTCAAACCCTGCTGCTTTATCAACTAAGCTAATGTATTATTCTAAATCTTTTGTTGTCATTTTAATAGTGTTTACCAGGAGTAGATTCCATCTACAAAGAAACCTCTTTTTTTGCTCATCCTAAGAAGCAACTCCTCATTCATTAAAGTTTTGTGGGTGGCTCACACCTGTAATCCCAGCACTTTGGGAGGCCAAGGCAGGAGGATTGCTTGAGCTCAGGACTTGGGGACCAGCCTGGGCAACATAGTGAGATATCATCTCTACTGAAAATTTTAAAAAATGTCGGGCATCGTGGCTCACACCTGTAATCCCAGCAGTTTGGGAGGCTGAGGCGGGTGGATCACCTGAGGTCGGGAGTTCGAGACCAGCCTGACCAACATGGAGAAACCCCATCTCTACTAAAAATACAAAATTAGCTGCACATGGTGGCACATGCCTGTAATACTAGCTACTTGGGAGGCTGAGGCAGTAGAATCACTTGAACCTGGGAGGTGGAGGTTGTGGTGAGCTGAGATTGTACCGTTGCCCTCCAGCCTAGGTAACGAGCAAAACTCCATCTCAAAAAAAAAAAAAACTAGCTGGGTGTGTTGGCGCATGCCTGTAGTCCCAGCTACTTGGCAGACTGAGGCAGGAGGATTGCTTGAGCACAGGAAATGGAGGCTATAGTGAGCTATGATCATATACCACTGCAATCCAGCCAGGGTGACAGAGGGAGAACCCGTCTTGAAAAAAACAATTGTCATGGAATTGCAGCAATTCAGCCACATCTTTAGGCTGCACTTCTAATTCTAGTTCCTAGCTGTTTTCCCCATTTCTACAGTTACTTCTACCTCAAAGTCATTTGTGAGGGTTAGAATCAACTTCTTCCAAACTGGTATTTTGAACTCCTGTGAATCAGAAGTGTTCTTAATGGCATCTAAAATAGTGAATCCTTTCCAGAAGGTTTTCAATTTACTTTGCCTAGATCCATCAGAGGAATCACCATCTATGCCAGCTGTAGCCTTATGAAATTTATTTCTTAAAAATTACTTCATGATTCATGGGCTGCAGAATGGATGTTGTGTTAGCAGACGTGAAAACAACATTCATCTACCTGTACATCTCCGTCATAGAGCTCTTGGGTGACCAGCTGCATTGTCGATGAACAGTATTTTGAAAGTTACCTTTGTTTCTGGGCAGTAGCCTCAAAATATTCAGTAAACCATTCTGTAAACCCACGTGCTGTCATGTCATCCAGGCTTTGTTGTTCTATTTATAGAGCACAGGTAGAGTAGATTTAACATAATTTTTAAGGATCCTAGGATTTTCTGAGTGGTCAGTGAGCATTGGCATCAACTTAAAGTCACCAGCTGCATTAGCTCCTATCAAGAGAGTCAGCCTATTTTTTGAAGCCAGGCATTGACTTCTCTCTAGCTACGAAAGCCCCTAGATGGCGTCTTCTTCCAATATAAGGCCACTTCATCTACACTGAACATCAATTGTTCAGTGTAGCCACCTTCATCTTTGATCTGGATAACTTGCTGCAGCTTCTACATCAGCATTTGCTGCTTCAGCTTGTACTTTTAAATAATGGAGATAGCTTATTTCCTTCAACCTCATGAGCCAATCTCTGCTAGCTTCAAACCTTTCTTGTGCAGCTTCCTTACCTCTCTCAGTCTTCATAGAATTGAAGAGAGTTGGGCTGGGCGCGGTGGCTCACGCTTATAATCTCAGCACTTTGGGAGGCCGAGGCGGGTGGATCACGAGGTCAAGAGATCGAGACCATCCTGGTCAACATGGTGAAACCCCGTCTCTACTGAACATACAAAAATTAGCTGGGCATGGTGGCGCACGTCTGTAGTCCCAGCTACTCGGGAGGCTGAGGCAGGAGAATTGCTTGAACCCAGGAGGCGGAGGTTGCGGTAAGCCGAGATCGTGCCATTGCACTCCAGCCTGGGTAACGAGTGAAACTCCGTCTCAAAAACAAAACAAAACAAACAAACAAGAATTGAAGAGAGTTAGGGCCTTGCTCTGTATTAGGCCTTGGCTTAAGGGAATGTTGTGATTGGTTTGACTTTCTGTCCAGACTACTAAAATTTTGTCCATGTTAGCAATAAGGCTGTTTTTCTTTCTTATCATTTATGTGTTCACTGGAGTAGCACTTTTAATTTCCTTCAAAAACCTTTCCTTTGAGTCACAGCTTCACTCTTTGGAGAAAGAGGCCTACCTTTCGGCTTATCTTTGTTTTTGACATGCCTTACTCATTAACCTTAATCATTTCTAGCTTTTGATTTAAAGTGAAAGACATATGGCTTTGCCTTTCACTTGAACAAGTAGAGGCCATTGTAGAGTTATTAATTGGCCTAATTTCAATATTGTTGGGTTTCAGTTAATGGAGAGGCCCAAGTAGAGAGAAGGATAGATAGGGGAATGGCTGGTCAGTGGAGCAGTCAGAACACAGACAACATTTTTTCATTAAATTCACCATCTTATTTGGGTGTGGTTTGTGGCACCCCCAAACAATTACATCAAAGATCACTGATCACAGATCACCATAACAGATATAATAATAATGAAAAAGTTTGAAATATTACAAGATTCACCAAAATATGACACAGAGACACAAAATGAGAGCACATGCTTTTGGAAAAATGCTGCTGATAAGACTTCCTCGATGCAGGGTTGTCACAAATCTTCAATTTATAAAAAATGCAATAAAGCGAAGTGCAATAAAATGATGTCTGCCCATGCACTGTTCTTTCAATCAACTGACGTTCAACTAGCGATTGCTCTGTGCGTGGTATTGAGCTATGTATTAGGGACACAGAAAAAAATAAGACTCTCTCCCTGCCCTGTGATACATACAAGTCTAGTAGAGGGAAATAGATCCTCACGTAATTAAGGGTAATGAACTGTTCAGGGCACACTGATAGCAATACTGTAGATTACAGAAGTTGTGCAGAGGGTAGAGTGCTCATTTCTACCTGGGCTGTCAGGTTAGGCCTCACTAAGAAGTCATCCTGAGAGACTTGATAGATGTTTGCCAGGCTGGTGAAGTGGCAAAGGGTCTCCTAAGCAGAGGAGCAGCATGAGTGCATGTCTGACAATGTGAACTACCCTGACCAAGTATGCTGTGAGTTATAAGACCCATATAGGACAGAAATAGTGTTTGGTTCTAAATCCAAGGGAAACTCTAGAGAGAACTTTGATCTGTGAATGGATGCCCCTGTCCCTAAACAGAAGAGAGCCCCCTCACCTGTCAGTCGTCTTCTTGCAAATATGTTGAAGAGATTAATGTACCTTGCTAGAAAGGAGAGCAGTTCTGCTTCAGAATTAGAGGCGTGGACGCTGGAGGTTTAACGCTTCAAGAAACTGTTCCTGGGATTTAGGGAGAGTGTGCGATAGCCTTACTTAACCTTGTTACAAATTGTCGAGTACTACAGAGGGAGAGGCCTCAGTGAAGTGCTAATAAGAAGTTATACTCTGTGAAGGGGTCTTCTGCCCTCTAGAGGAAATGGATTCTGTTGTATTTTTTTAATGAATGGAAAAATAGCCTTAATATCTCATCCAAACTTTTTCCACTAGTTTAAACTAAAGGTTTCTTTTGGTTTTCTAGAGCAAGGTAGGGGTGTGTGTGTGTGTGTGTGTGTGTGTGTGTGTGTGTGTGTGTTTTGCTGAGTAATCTTTGTATTTTTACTTACCTCTTGTGAAATAGTTGATTACCTAATGACCAAACCATTATAATGTTTTTGGATAGATAATTTTGGGTGCTTTTGTTTTTAACTTCATTGTACAATTAGCATACAGAAAAATTTATTGCTTTGGTGGGGAAGGGTGTACTCTTCTATGAATATAGATTTGTGTAATCTCTGTAACCACCTCCACAGTCATGATACAAAACCGTTTCTTCTTTTTTTTTTTTTTTCCTTTAGAGAGACAGGGTCTTGCTCTGTTGCCCAGGCTTCCTGGCCTTGAGCAAACCTTCCACCTTGGCCTCCCAAGTGCTGGAATTACAGACATGAGCCACTCCACCTGGCCCGGAATGATTTCTTTTTTTTTTTTTTTAAAGTTCGGGGGTACGTATATAGAATGTGCAGGTTTGTTACATAGGTAAACGTGTGTCCTGGAGGTTTGCTGTACAAATTATTGTATCACCCAGGTATTAAGCCTAGTATTCATTAGTTATTTTTCCTGATCATCTCCCTCCTGTCACCCTCTGCCCTCTGGTAGGTAGGCCCCAGTGTCTGTTGTTCCCCTCTATGTGTCTGTGTGTTCTTATCATTTAGCTCAGAACATGAGGTATTTGGTTTTCTGTTCCCATGTTAGTTTGCTAAGGATAATGGCCCCCAGCTTCATCCATGTCCCTGCAAAGGACTTGATCTTGTTCTTTTTTTATGGCTGAATAGTATTCCATGGTGTATATGTATCACATTTTCTTTATCCAGTCTATCACTGATGGGCATTTAGTTTGATTCTGTGTCTTTGCTATTGTGAATAGTGCTGCAATGAATATACACGTACATGTGTCTTTATAACAGAATGATTTATATTCCTTTGAGTACACACCCAGTAACGGGATTGCTGGGTTGAATGGTATTTCTGGTTCTGGGTCTTTGAGGAATCGCCACAGTCTTCCATAACTGTTAGACTAACTTACATTCCCACCCACATTATAAAAGCATTCCTGTTTTTCTGCAGCCTCACCAGCATCTGTTGTTTCTTGACTTTTTTTTTTTAATAATCACCATTCTGACTAGCATGAAATGGTATCTCATTGTGGTTTTGATTTGCATTTCTCTGATGATCAGTGATGTTGCGCTTTTTTTCATGTTTGTTGGCTGCATGAATGTGTGAGAAATGTCTGTTCATATCCTTTGCCCACTTTTTAATAGGGTTTTTTTTTCTTGTAAATTTGATTAAGTTCCTTGTAGATTCTGGATATTAGCCCTTTGTCAGATGAATAGATTGCTAAAATGTTCTCCCATTCTGTAGGTTGTCTGTTTACTCTGATGATAGTTTCTTTTGCTGTGCAGAAGCTCTTTAGTTTAATTAGATTCCGTTTGTCAATTTTAGCTTTTGTTACTATTGTGTTTGGTATCTTCATCATGAAATCTCTGCCTGTGCCTATATCCTGAATGGTATTGCCTAGGTTTTCTCCTAGGGTTTTCATACTTTTGGGTTTTTCATTTAAGTCTTTAATCCATTTTGAGTTGATTTTTGTATATGGTGTTCTATATTCATCAAGCCAGAGTAGATTCTGAGCATGATATTTTCATATGGCCTTTCCAAGCAAGAATATGTCCAGAGGAAAGGCAGATGGCCAGCCAGTGTGATAAGGAAATGATATATAAACCATTTGTGGGACTAAGGGTATTAAACTCCAAAGGTTGTAAAACTTTGAGTGAAAAAGGGAAGGGAGCAGGCTTGTTCAGGTTGGGCAGTGTCCACAGATTAAATTAAGACCAGGATGTTTTCATTGCAGGGAATTATATTTTAGCATCAAATAAGGAAGTAAGCTCTTTATCATTGGAGGTGTTCAAGCTCATGTAGGAAAGTTACTGTAAAAATGAAGTTTTGAAATTAGATAAAGGAGTTAAACATGACTCTACAAAGGCTCCTTCAGTAATATTATAGTCAAGACTAAATTATTACTCCTTATCTTGTATCCTTTCTACTACCTCCTGCCTCTGATCAGAATGGTATCTAGCAAGTTTGACATCTGGGAAGTATCTTGAAACTCTGGAACCAGTGTCATAATTTCTAATATAACAAACATATAGGTGCCATTCATTCATTCATACATCCATCCATGCAACAATATTTTTGAGCACCTACTTTGCTAAGCCTTAGGATATAAGAGTACCCAGAACATGGTGCCTGTCTTTGAAATTTGTATTCCTGGTGGAGGGAAAGGGTTAATGTCTGCTTTTATCACTCAGCAATAAAGAAATATTCCAGGCCTGGCATGGTGGCTCACACCTATAATCCTAGCACTTTGGGAGGCCGAGGTGGGTGGATCACGAGGTCAAGAGATCGAGACCATCCTGGTCAACATGGTGAAACCCCATCTCTATTAAAAATACAAAAATTAGCTGGGCATGGTGGCACACACCTGTAGTCCCAGCTACTCGGGAGGCTGAGGCAGGAGAATTGCTTGAACCCAGGAGGTGAAGGTTGTAGTGAGCTGAGATCATGCCATTGCACTCCAACCTGGGTAACAATAGCGAAACTCTGTCTCAAAAAAAAAAAAAAATTCCAGTGTCAGCACATATTTACATATTGATGTTTTTAACACAAAAGTAGTACATACTTGCACTAAAGAGATAATAGAGTAAAAATGTCTTCTTGTCTGTCCTCTGTGCCTTCATTCTCCCTCTCTACCCTAATAATCACTGGTAATAGTTTGGTAAATTTACTTCCAAACTTTTATCCATGTATGTACCAAAACATGCATGTATACATTCATATGTATATATGTTTTTAAAAACAAATAGTGGTTTTTAAGATGTGTCTTCTCCTTTTTAAGCGATTGCTTATCATTCCATTCTATACCTGTGTTAGTTTACTTAACCATTCTCCTATAGATTAATATTTAGATTGCCTAACTTTTTACTATTACAGAAAATGTAGAGGCAGTATTTAAAAAGAACTTGGACATAAAAATGTGGAGGAAGATAATGAAGATACGTGTCAGA